TTCACGCGACACAACAGGAACCGGGACCTTTACGCTAAATAAACATGGAAGCCGCAAAAAGTTCATAGGTTAAACTTTCCTAGTAATTTCATACAAAACTACACCACCACACCAAAACAATGGAGGATAAATAAGCTGTTTTGTTAGTTAGTTGTTAGTTATTGGGGGGATCGATCGCAATTAAAATGGGACACAGCCCTTTATTTATATTTTACTTAGATGACCCGTGACATGTTCCTCGTTAAATCTGGCCAGCAGATTGATCTTTAGTTTTCCACAGAATAAAAAACTATGCAATGTTATCCCACCAATACCTGGCAAGTTTCACCGGCAACATTAGACATAAGTATATTGGTTAGCGATCAAATTTTCTGATGAAATATGAAGAAAGCAAAAAATGTGTTAACTGATGCATTAAATGTAATTGGGATACAAAAAAATATCCCATTTGCTCAATTTTTACTTTGCTACATCTCTTTTCGCATAACTTCCAGGTTTGCACCGGTGCTTATAGTCAACCAATCAGCATGCTATGGCTCTAAGCTCCTCCCCAGTGGTTCGTGTTCCAACGAAAAGTGCCTAGTCTGGAGGAGGTACTAAAAACAGAGTTCTAGAACTACCTCCGAGGAACTACAATCGGGCCGAGTTCCTGCAGTGTGAACACGACAAAAGTCCCTGGTTCTGGACAAAAGTTCTGGTTCCAGAAAAATGTTCTGGCAGTGTAACAGCACCTTAAAATTCTATATAACCTATACCAAGCCTTTGCTGAATACATTTATCAACATCACTTCTCCCTTATCTTAGACATACCAATTTATGTCACCACAACAAACTTCATGTGAGTTTGGCCTAATGTGAAACTATGCCTGTTAGAATAAAGCAATAAATCTATGAGTGTGTCCTCCCAAAATAGGTAACATTACAGAAAACTGGGGCTCAGTAAATTTAATCACATTGTACACGCTGTAGAGAAGGCTAACTGTTGTTTAGGCTGTTGTCCAATAGGCTATTTGTGGGTGATTAGCAACTCCATACCAGACAACAAAATAACAAAACAAGTGTATGTATATTGGCCAGTGTCAATCAAAATGTGTAGTATATTAAATCATTAACCCAAATTGTGCCAAATGCCTTATCAAGCATGGCTTTTGCTCACTGTTTTGTACCCCCCCCCACTTTAAAAATCTCTCATGCAGTTATTCTGGTCATCCAAAGTAACATGGGTATTAGTAATGTAAAATACTTGATAGGTGAAGACATCCAATGTGATTGATAACATGACATATGTACCTAGAAGAGGCTGGTATCCTAAAACAGGGTGTCTCCTTTCGGCTGTCCAATTCGTCAGTGCAGACAATTTCTAGTGCATAATATTCCCCATGGTGACAGTGAACAATGATGTGCAGAGTGAGAGTAGATCTCTCAGTTAACCTGGAAATCCACAGCACATGTACTTTTTAAATTAGCTTGAAATTGCAAACATACGTGAGAAGGATGTGACTCAGCAATTACATCAGATATATTATCAGTGCAAAGATGTTAAGACTCATGTTTAGACTCATGTGACTCATACGGCTCAGCATTATCTCCTGGAAGTCTATCACTGGCACGGACACCAAGGCATTGTACAATGCTGGAGCATTTATGGTTTCTGGAGTAAGGCTTGGAAAGGACATCAGTCGATTGCTTCATTTCCAGTCCTCCGCCGGTCAACTAGAGTGGAGACCCAAGATACTGGACTAACTGCTGGGTGCGTTAAAGTTGGCAGTGATATGATCATTCAAGATCTTGCTATTCATCAGCACCACTATCTGTCAAGGTGCTTGCAGGTTTACTGGGGCAACCTTTTGTAGTAATGTACTGCTAGCAGGAGATAAATCCACATGGTGATTCCTCCTTGGCTCTAACTAATCCAAACAAAGGCCGACAGGGGTTAGTCTGTTTTTTTTTCCATCTCAGTCAAGCTCTCAGCTGTGATTCTCAGCTCCCTTGTATGTCCGTAAGCGGGAATGCTCTTTCATCAGGCTTGGGTTGTCATTGAACATTTTCATACTTTGCTTATGATGTGAAATCTGCCATTAAACAGATACTAAACTAAAATAATTTACACCCATCATTTTACAAGAGATTTTTTTGGGTTTTAAACCCAGATACAATAAAATTGCGATTCAGATGCGGTAAAACCGCTCTCTTTTCTATGTGCTTTTACTTCAGCCCTAATCCCTCATCTGTGGATTTTGGCAAGGTCACTTTTGGCCTCACAAGGTCATGTGGAGATGCAGGTTTGTGTACTTTTGGATTTGACTTATGACCCACCCTTCCAGAGCACCAGCATTCCAGTATCTCCTCCTTTACAAACTAGAATGGAACTCCCAACTATTCAAAATGTTTACTTGATATATTTACAGAACAATCCATTCCTAAAATCTATGTATTACAGCATGTAATATATTCCTGTGGAGCATATAAGTAATTTAAAAGTAAATGAATTATTGAAATTATGTTACAATGGAAAGGATGTTTCAAGAATGCACAAGTGGGTGTTGTAACCACTTGCATCACTGACCAAGGGCTGCGGTCAGACGGTCCCACATGGGGAAATTGTTCACCTCCATCTTGCACTCACATTGTCAGCTTCACCTGTCAAACTCCAGACGAGTCCCAGCGGATCTAGTTCACTGTTGACAAGAGCGAAAAAGGCCCCTTGCTTTTCAAACACCTTTTCCTGGGGTCCTATTTCTCATTGCACCCCCCCGCCACAGTGGTGAACATTCAGCGCCAGGGCCAAAGTTTAATCCCCTGCATTTGTGAGCATTTGAACTCTCAGCTATAAATTCTGTGACGACCTGCCTTCTGTTCTTAATTTGCTTTGTCGTTTGAGAACCGTCACGCTCCAGATCGCTCTGACTCCAAGCCAGAATCAAAGAAACTGTTGTTTCAAAGTGACGGCTAACTGTTTCATTCTGGAGACCCCTTAGCAGCCCCTAGATGAGTGTCGGTGTTACTGCACGTGATTTAGATCATCAAAGGGTGAGGTAAGGTAACATTTGAGGTTAGTAGAAGGCTTATGGTCTGAATGTAGGTCAATGTTTATACATGGGGATTTTACTGTGGTTGAAACTGAATTCCTGGAGGTTTTGTAATCATTTTTATTCGATGATCAATCTACACCTGGAGCCCTTGGTGTTTTGTGTGGTACTTAGAGTCCATGCCAGTCAATCCCATGATCTTAAATGCTGGTTATTCTTACAGGTTTGTTTATCCCCCACAAACCTCATCCCCATCAGCTCATGGTTCTTATTTGTGGCAGAAGTAATCTGATCTGATATTTTGAGTGTGAAGTATTAACTCTCACTCCAGCTCAAAATTGTCTGGATTGATAATATAACCCCATGAAGTGAAATTATCCACCCCGCGGGAGCACATAAACACACATTTAAGCAGCACAACTCAAAGTTATCTTGCTTGAGGTCCAAAGGATTTTCATGGCAATTTCCATGTGCATTTTCCAGGCTGCAATCCTTCTCGTGCTGGGGAGGGGGCACATCTCCACAGTTGCCTTTATGTTGCGCTGGATTAGATACTGTGAATGTTATATGTTCAGCTTGAAAGCAAAGTGCACTAGCTCAAAGAAGGTCCATATGTCTGTGGTCTCCTTGTGAATATCGGAGCTCCCATATCCCAGAAAAGCATCCACCGCGACAAAGTGAGGAGCGCCACTCGGCCCGAACGGTGCTCCCGGCGTCTTCCTCCGATGACAGGGGGCTCTTAGAGTGCTCGTCTCTCGGCGAATCAACACAGAGGGTCACAGGGTCTATATTCACACACATACACCCAGACAACTGCTTTTATGGGTATTGTTTACCACACGTTGTCACATCTTGGCAGACGGCGTCTTTCTACAAACACAGACTTGTAGACCACAGGAGAACTCAACCAGAATCTGGGGGGGGGGGGGGCACATGCAGGAATGTCACAGAGTTTATGTCCATCCCACAGAAGTGTCACTTCTTAATTAAAGAGTAGGTAGAGAGGTTATGGAAACTACACTGTTCATTCAGGCAAGGTCTATATCAGTACGAATGACACATAAATGTAGTTTAGAGGGCAAAAACAAAAACACCCCCATAATATGCTGGATACAAACAAAACCTCTTTTGAACTTCAGCTGGTATTAGTGTTTTTCCATGACTGTGGTTATTGGTAGATTTTACTATAGTAAACTTTTTCGACCAGTGTTTAAATGACCCGTTCTGCTCAGATTCTTACACTGTGTTTGTTCTGTTGTGAAGGACAGATAGGGGTAGACGTGCCCAAAAACATCTGCGTTTGCATAAATATTCCATACCCAAGTACAAAAATATGCTGCTATGTTGGGTTTGTTTGTTGCTATTTAAAGACATTTAAAATACGGATATGCAACACAACAAAAAACAGTGTTTTGTATTGTACAGCTGGCCTTCAATTTCAAAAATATGTGAAAATATAGACGTCCCATCCCCACCATATCTTAACTCTGCCCCATGCAATATAAACCAAAGTGCTCATGAAGGTAACTGACTATGATGGCGAGTGTGAGATTATCAGGTTATCAGCCATTAAAGAGGCAGGAAATTAATGCAGAAGATGAAGGTTAACATACGTCTGTATTTACCTGAGTGTGTTTTTTGTAGTGATGAGTATTTTCAACAGTACACTCAATAGGCGCAATCTGTAATGTCCTCAGTGGTTTTTCATTATGTTTCCCAGTAGTAACTTTATAGTCATACTATTTACACTATTACACTATTATACTATTATACTATATACATACTCAGTTTTCCTGAGCACGTAACTTGCACCCTTGGCCTTTTTAGAGTTTTTTTTTTTTACACGGGATCCAGATCTTTTAGAATATCACCCATAATGCAAAGCTGCACCGGGCCCCCGTCAGCCGTAGCTTGTGGCACCTGGTCCAGTCGGACCCCGTAAGATGCTGTTGGCTTCTCGCCCCTCCCCAGGGATGGCTGGAGAAGCCCCATCTGTACCCGGACAAAAAGAGGGGGTGGCCCGACCATGCTCAGGACACAGCGAAGGAGACCTTGGACATGAAGGGCCCCCCCCCTGGAAATGGCTCTGAGGTGTGGAGGCGGCCCCGCTGTGGGGTGCCAGACTACACCGCGCGCGAGGTCCTCGAGGCGGCGGAGAAGGCGAGGGCCCACGGGAGGGGGCAGCGGCGACGGCAGCGGCAGCGGCGCTTTGTGCTGTTCGGGGGACGCTGGGACAAGACCGACCTCAGCTACAAGTAAGGCCTGCGCTCGAAGTTCAAGTCCGGCCATTGTTATCCTGAGTAGGCATGCAAAGCGAATGTGCTCCTTTGGTTCGGAGCATCCGTGAGCTTTCACATTACTCATAAATTTATGGGGGGGGGGGGGGGGCGTCTTCATTAAGATGACACTCCGAGCCTCACCCCCCACATGGGGTTTGTCTGCCATCTGAAATGCTTTGAGCCCCAGAGCACCCGTCCGCTGACTGTCATAGCGTCTTCCAAGTCATGCATCCACGGTAAATCTGACACGGGCCCCTGAAAGCCAAACAAAGGAAACACCCCCAGGGGGCAGGGGGGGGGAGGTACCTCTCCCTTAAACCTGCTTTTACGGCTTTGTGCTGGAGAGGAAGGCCTGGGGGGGCCTGGTGTCCTTTCTGCTCCGGTTTGTAATGAGGGGTCTTCTCTAGGCCCCTGCTGTCTCGAATAAGACCACGCGGGTGTCGGCGGGTGGCTCTGTCCTGGCACGCCATGCCGGGGGGTGGTGGTGGGGGGGGCTCAGACAGCGATAGGGTTACCCGGCCCCTTCAAGCTACCTGCACGGGCTCGCAGGGAGGAGGGTCCCCTCACCTGGGACAAGGACAAAGGGCAGAAATACGGGGCTCCGACGTCCCAGGACCAGCCATGACAGGGGGAGGTAGGATGATGGGGTACAAAAGGGACTACTACTGATAATAATAAATAATAATAATAATCATTATTTATTATTATTATATTAATACATTTTTCTGTATAAATAAACACATCAAAAATGATAGAAAAAAACAAGCAAAGAATTTACCTTGGAATTAATGGGTTTGCCTGTTTAGTATGAAGAGCTTGCATGTTGCGTGTGCCCTGAAACAGAGACCCTGCCTGTACACCCCCATACGGCAGAATGTAAAGGCATCAGGCTTGTTAAATGCTAACATGCTGGCCTGGCAATAAAGCCTCTTATTGTTTTACCCCCTGTGTCACTCATGCTGCAAGTTCAGCATATGTTACACCATTTCAATCACCTGTGACGGCAGGTATTAGCGGAGTCCTGACAGGGCTTAATCGGAGACAGCTGACTCTCATTTTGAATAGCCAACCCCCAGCCTGTGCTGCAGAGTTAGCTGCCCCTCTGCAGGTTAGGTGGGGGACGGCTGGGATTATTATTATGTGGAGCTCAGAGTCTCATACTGAGAAAGCAAGTTGGTGAATGAAAGAAAGGGATTATGGGCCGGCAGACTTGTGTTTGGGGTTTGGGTGTCTGGCGGACGTTTGCGTATCTGTGTCCATGGGGACTCTGACCTTTTGGGAACATGGGATTTCCTGTATGCAGTCTTAACAACCTTTCAGTGCTGTCAAACCGCCCCCCGTGAATCGCCTCTCGTGTCAAAGTTTTCACAGGTGAAGCACAACTGTATGTGTATGCATCACCTCCCAGGATCGTCCGCTTTCCCTGGCAGATGAGTGAGGACAAGGTGCGACGTGTCCTGCAGGAGGCGCTGCGCGTCTGGAGCGACGTCACCCCTCTCAACTTCAGAGAGGTCCACGGGGGCCGGGCTGACATCATAATCGACTTCACAAGGTGAGAGGGAGCGGTGTCACGTGGGAGGGCCGGCAGGCCGCCAATTACACACCTCTGAACCTGTGCATTACACACAGCAGAAAGCACCTATCAGGCATCTATGGGTAAACAAGTGACACAACTGCAAGACAGCCATTTACGCAGAGGCCACCTGACAGAGCCCCGTGCATACACGGCCAATCGTGGGCAAAGTAAACAAGGGACTTCATGGTGATTACAAACGTGTAAACCATCCCGTGACCACAAGTTATCATTAGTGCCATTAAACAGGCTGTTTACTGGAACCTAGCCCAACTCACAGACAAGCCTGTTTACATCACTGTGAAGAGCAATCACATGACTCTTAGCAAGCCTTCGTTGTTTACATGCTATTTTTTTTTTACAAATTAAAACGTGCAAACTTATTTCACTTGAGGTGGCTTGAGGATCTGCTGAGGTTGTAGGTTCATCAGAAACATAAATGACAAAGACTTACTTTCCCCTCACAAAGACTATAATTTCTGGCAGATTGGAATTTGCCTGTTTGTTTCACGAGGGCGGCTGAGCCCAGCAGACGACTCTAAGCTCATTCGAATGCCTTTCGTTTGATGCGAATGGATTTCTTTTGCAGATCGCATATGACTGATACTATGCTGTGTAATTACAAGTGCGGCGGCATCAGTCAACACCTAGAGAGTTGTACGTTCAGGCGAAAGGAAAGCCTCAATTTAAACAGGCAACGACAGGAGCTGTTTAAGGATTTAAGAGGGATTAAAAAACATGAGAGGCGGGAGCTTTAGCTGCTGGCTTTGCACAGAAGGGACGCTGTTATCTTTATGGATAGGTGAGGAGCAAATATACCACTGCAACTCCGAAATGGCAAAATGCAAAAACAGTAACTTCCCTGAGGCCCACAGAGCAAGTCAGACTCATCGCTGTAACACTGTGGGATTCTCTGTAATTATAAATCACTGTCCGTCAGCAATGCAGCAGAGTAGATTACTGGGCAGGCAAAGGGGCACAGTATTGATCCCCTCACCCTCCCCCTGCCCATTTCTGAAGGCATTTCTGTCTGTTTCTGATTACTTCGCTCCTTAGAGGGAGGAAAACGACAGGAAAGAGCAATGAAATGAAGGTGTTAACTGAAGGACCTCAGCTACCCCTTTGTTTTCATTTTCCCGCCAGTCAAGCAGACCACCAAGGTTGTGAACCGGCAAACCCAGAAAGGGCGGGAAAAGGGGGGCTTTGTACTTTTAATGAACCACTTTACAGTTCATTACCTCCCTTATCGAACCCCTCAGATGCCATCACCGCCGCCCCCCCAGGCTTTATTCCCTCGTTCCGGCTCCCCCCCCCCTTACTAATCGGCCTGCACAGTCATTGGCATGTTTCCTGCCGCCGAACCAGCGGTACCGGTTCCGTACCGGTTCCGTGCCAGTGAACAGCAGCTTTGCACAGGGAGCCTGGCAGATCTTCGCCTATCTTCACCGTTGGGTAACACGGTTGGCATGATTCAGATCGTGGTTGGCATGATTCAAGGGCTCCAAGCCAAAATTCAATATACGTACAAAAGTAAAACTTCTATTCTATTACGGTGCTTCCCCGAATGTTTACCTGTAAATATATGCCACTGGAGCCATTTGGATTAAGCATCTTATCATTGGATCGTACGGCAGCGGGAGTACAGCAGGGGCACGGATACCCTGGCAGATTCAGGGGGCCCAGCACTCTACAGGGGCCCTTAATTATGTAAAATTGTGCAAGTATATAAAGTATGGAGGACTGGAGGGGGCAGAATTTTTTAGCACCCCACTGTACATCAGGCCTCTCACTGGGATTTACACTAACTTTCAGGGCAGTGTCTTTAACCACTATGCCCCCTAATGTCCAATATGTGCATATGCATGTTTGTGTGCAGGGTACTGAACCACACGTCCTAATACCATTACTCTGTCTTACTGACAACACACACTTCATTTCTTCCACAAAGCGAGAGAAAAACAAAAGCTAGCAGAGGAAGAAAATTATATTTTTTTACTCTATGTGATTGATTGACAGGTACTGGCATGGAGACAGCCTGCCCTTCGACGGGCCGGGGGGCATCCTGGCCCACGCCTTCTTTCCCAAGACCCACCGTGAGGGTGACATTCACTTCGACTATGATGAGACCTGGACAGTAGGCAACAGCATGGGTGAGAAGGAGAGTGAGGTTGTGTGCCCTGTAAGAATCCATGTGCCTCCTTTATGTGCCTCCCTTATGAGCCTCCCTTATGCGACTCCCTTATGCGCCTCCCTTATGCGCTTCCCTTATGAGCCTCCCTTATGTGCCTCCCTTATGAGCCTCCCTTATGAGCCTCCCTTATGCGCCTCCCTTATGCGCTTCCCTTATGAGCCTCCCTTATGTGCCTCCCTTATGCGCTTCCCTTATGAGCCTCCCTTATGAGCCTCCCTTATGAGCCTCCCTTATGAGCCTCCCTTATGAGCCTCCCTTATGTGCCTCCCTTACACCCTGTATATCCCTAAGCCTCCCGTAACTGTGGCGTCTCATGCACCCCTTCCCCTCAGGGACGGACCTGCTCCAGGTGGCCGCCCACGAGTTCGGCCACGTTCTGGGCCTGCAGCACTCGCTGGAGCCTGGATCCGTCATGTCACCATTCTACAGCTTCTCTTACCCCCTGGAGCTAAGCGACGATGACAGACGGGGCATCCAGTACCTGTATGGCCCCCGTAAACCACCCCCCCCACCGCCAGTCGTCCCAGAGACCAATGAGATCCCTAACATTGTGAGTATGGCCCCGCCCCCTTGGCCACACATTTAAACTTCTGTTTATTTAGCCATTAGGCTGCCCTATACATCACATCAGCTCTTACCATAGACCGAGTCACATCACCTGACTAACGTGAGTCCCAAATAGTGGGAGGGGTTAACTATGGTGCTCATTGCTATTCACACAACAGCACAAAAGAGCGGCGTGTGTAAACTGAGGTTCCTTAATTAAAGGGTCTTCCCCACTTCCCCTAGCAGCCAGATGCCTGCAGGTCGGACTTCGACGCCGTGTCCATGATCCGCGGTGAGCTGTTCTTCTTCAGGTCCCGCTACGTGTGGCGCATACGTGACGGGCGCTTGCAGGCGGGGTACCCCGCACTGGCCTCCCGCCACTGGAACGGCATCCCTGAAAGCATCGACGCTGCTTTTGAAGACAAGGCGGGGAACATCTGGTTCTTCCAAGGTGCCACGATACCCTTAGACAGCAATATCAGACATGTCCATGCAGTGATTTATTATTTTACAGACAATAAATGATTAATCTTGGATATCAATTAGATATTTATCTATTATAGCTTAGTCAATTATTTACCAGTTCAAGGTTTTTGCGCAAGTTTTTATTTGACTTGCTACTTTGATTCCTTGTTGCTTACAGGTTTACTTGGGAGCTATTTTGGCTAATTAGTTAATAGTTATGTCAGTGTTGTTCATGTTTTAATCCAAGCAGCATTTAAATGCCTGGAATTTAACTCAGCATTGATTAGATGACTCAGTTACAGCCCCCCCTTGAGGAAGGAAATATAATCAATGCAGAAATCAAATTTGATTTAACGTACCATATTCTTTTAATAAATATTTGTCAATGTAAGCAAATACAAAGGAAAATAGAATTATTTCCTGCGCTTAGTGGACACCTTGTGTTTTAAAAGAAAGTATTAAAATTAATACTCTCAGAACTCCCCCCCCCCCCCCACAGGTCACAGCTATTGGGTATATGACGGCGAGCGACGGGTAACGGGACCTGACCCAGTAAGCAGCCTGGGCCTCCCCGTCTCCAACATCCAGGCTGCGCTCATGGGGGGTCGGGGCAAGGAGCAGAAGACCTACTTCTTCAAGGACGGCAGCTACTGGCAATTCGACCCGCTGGGAAACCAGGTGGAGGATGTCCAGCCACACAGCCTGCAGGACTGGTGGGGCGTGCCCAGGGACATCGACGCCGCCTTCCAGGATCGATACGGTAAGCGCTTGGTATCCCTCATCCATGCTGCTGGCTCATTCATGGAAGCCTAAATGCCACACACTCGAAATTGTAAATCTTGACTCTCAAATACTTAAACGATAACAGTGGCCTGAAATGATAGGATTCAATGGTCTTTGCACAAAGAAGGTGATTCACTATCCAGAATGTTCTGCAACTTTACTCAAGTCATTGAGTTCTTTTTTTTTTTTTTCGGCTGGAATGTCGAGCTGTTTCCAATTTGCTTTTCCTTCATGTCATCAGACGTGGTTACCAGCCAAAGCAGTCGTTCATCTCCCAAATTCTTGGCAATGCTCTGGTTCTCCATGACAGTCATTTGCTAATTCACTGGTGTACTTTAGATATCTGGAAACATCCCAGGTGTGGATGTGTGCCATAATTCCAGCACTTGCCACAGGGGGGAGCCAAACGAAGGCTCCGGCTTCCTGCGGTAAAGTGTGCGGTCACTGGTCACTTCGCGGTCCCACTGTGGAGCCCACGGTCTAAACGGCCACCCTGAGCTTGGTTTTCGTTTCCCCATTTCCTGACAGGTTACGCTCACTTCCTCAGCGGAAAACAATACTGGAAGGTGGACCCGAAGGAGGGAGGCGTTCTGGAGGGATACCCCCGCAGCATCGGCATGGACTTCTTCGACTGTGCCTCGTCCACTTACTGATGGCATCGGCATGGCGGGGGCCAAACCCACGAAGCACCAACACAGCACAGACACCCTCCCTTTAAAGCCTGGTCGCTATACTCAGAGAATCACTGCGAGGGATCTTTAACCCCTTCTACTCACGCCAGGACAAAGACTCTGCGTCTTACTGGGAAACATATTTATAACTGGTGAAAATCAAAGGCAGACCAGTGCCACCTCACATCAGAGGTGCTGGAGTGCCCAGTAAATGTGACCAAAGCCATGAAAATGACATTTTCAGGACTGGGGTGCGTGGGGGGGGGTTTACGAATGTTGTATATATGATGGAAAGTGTATGAATAATGTATGTTTTGAGACTGGCCAAACTTCGGGCTGTATCTTTGAAATATTTAAACCTTTTAGGTCTCGTTTGAGCAAAGCATTATAAATATTTTTTAGCAGTGAACATAGTGCTTCTGGTCAAAGCTTCCATACTAGGTATAAAACGACCTAGGAGAGTTAGTCGAAACAGATTTTTTTTTTCCAGGCACCAACTAAATATGACTACATTCTGAACTCCTCAGGGGAACTTGGATCCGGGTTCGTATGGGTATGCTGTTTCACGGCCACTCCCCGACCACTACCAAATCAGAGCAGTTACAAACATGCCTGTTTGATGCATAAATCATTTCTCGCTCCTAATTTTGACAAATTAATATAGTCATTTGGTAAGTGTGAATCTCGAAACACATTTCCTTGCAGTACCAGTGTCTCGTATCTTGTTTGCTCTGTCTGTTGATTATACAGAACAACAGCTTGACAATTAAAAAAGTTAAACTGTCTCAAACACACACTCCAGTGACAATGGCAGAGCAGCTAACTGCTAATTTATCTTTGACCTTGTACAACCCTTCTCATTTACTGTAAGATTTATTTTAAACTACACTTTTTTTTTTCTCACAAAGTAGCAGCCTGAAACACTACAAAGCTGTACCATAGACTTTGAAAGAATATTTCTTTAAAACCTCAGCATCAAATTACTAATGAGAACACCTTTTAAATCAATTTATATACTTTTGTTGAAGCATTAATTATAAATCTGGGATTTTACCCAGCAACTGGCAGGACCTTCACCACACAGCAGTTTTCAGCTAATGAAACTTACGTGTGTCAGCTGAACTTCTTAAACTAAAGCAAAAGATTATCTGTAGCAATGTTTCCAACCTGGACCTCAGACACCCCAGACAGTCCACATTTTTGCTCCCTACCGGGAGCTGTGGTCCACAGACAAGTTCCTACAGGCAGTAAAAAGGACGGACAGATGTGTTAACAAAGGTCAGCAAAGCAGGTCAGCGCCTGGCTTACAGGAAGGCAGCTGGATGAGATATTGAGTTTACCTCTGTAGCATAGCTGGAAAGAATTAGGCTTCTGAAGTGTGACTGTCAATTTTTCATAAATCGGGACAGAGCCAGTAGTATTGCGTGTACTAATTCATTTATTCGGATTAATGGCCGGTCTTAAAGTAGAGCTCTGTAACTGATTGGTGATGCTGTGAGTCAGTGCTGGCCACTGACATCCTACATTCTGTTGATACCCTGTCATAACTGTGATCCTTTGGTGTGATCCTTGTTCCATACTGGTAGTTTTTACTACCAGTTTTTACTCTGGACTTATATCCTTTGTGAAAGATGTCACATACAACACTCAGTTACTGTAATCTTACTTGGAGACATGTATTTTTGTTAACCATCCTGGTTTCTTATACATTTTTTTAACCCAGTTATCATATTTACTATGTAAATAATGCACTACAACCTCAATATTTTTGTTGCAAATAAAGTTTTTCTTTATACACTCTGCTCCTGTCTTTATTTATATGGTGTACTTACAGTAAATGTATTTGAAGGACATTACATGCGTCTTTGTTTCAAAGCAGTCTTATCCAAGTGTTTACTAAATGACCTCTGGGGAAATTAGCCTTGAAGTTAAATTAGAGGACAGTTACATTCTTGCTGTGCTTCATTTAGGCTCAGTAGTCCAATACTCCAACTGGAACACCCCATGAAGTCGGGGGCACCTCTAAAACCTGCACTTCAGAATTCAAGATGGCTGCTCCCTTTGTCAACAGAAGTGAAAGCTGTATTGATATACTGTGGTACCTCGGTTCTCGAACTTAATCCATTCCGGACTCCGGATCGACTCCTAAAAAGTTCGAGTTCTGATCGAATTTTTCCCATAAGAAATAATGGAAAACCAATTAATTGGTTCCCGGTCCCCCAAAATTACACCTAAATATGTTTCTTTTTTTTAGCATTTAAACACAAAATGAACAGGATAAAACAAGAAGAGCATTTTTTTTCTTAACGGCTTCCAAAACGATAAAGATCTTATCCCAACATTACCCCTGTCCTGCCCCGATCGTCCGCTCCTTCCGTGTGCCACGCCCCCTCCTTAACCTCGTGTGGGACACCCCATGTGATCAGCTGTTTCTGGTTGTTGTCATTAGTCCTCTGTATTAAGTCCGCGTTTCAGTTTGTTTCCCCAGTCCGGTCATTGGGTGCATTCGACTTGCTTACAGCGTTGGCTTAAAGCAACGCATTCTGATCCTGACGCAATGCATTACGGTTAGATGCATTGCGACCTCTCACCCGGCTGCACAAACTGGAAGCACCTCCGTGACGACACACCTTTGCCCTTATTATTACAGTAACTAACAATAAATAAACCACTAACTTGCTTAGCTGGATAACTTGTCGGATTTAAGGCAGTCTAGGCTAAATGAAAGTGAATGAAGACGAAGGCCATTTAAACTGGGGAACCTTAAATCTTAAAGTTGTCTGGCTAAGTGAGAAATCCTGTTGTTTGAAACAGGTCCCTGGTATTGCTTAATGGCCTTCTGACTTGCTGTACTGGAACGCGGTTAACTTGGGTGTGATGTCATTCCCAGCTCCAACTTCCGACCTCCAAGGTAAATGGAACATAGCATCAGTCCCCAGAGAAGAGGAGGGGAGCTTCAAAAGATTGGGGCACTGCGGAATGGGGGCAAGCTCATTACTGCCGGTCCAACTCCAACTTCAAGAGGTGTGGGGGAAGGGGGGGCAGTCTGGTGAGTGAGGCCCCTCTGAGGAGTCAGGCCTGGTCAGCTGGCTGACTGACTGACCTTCATATGACCTTAGTATGGTTCCCTGCCAGAGAACCTCTGTCTTTCTGTCAGGAGCAGGTACTAGGTCAGCCCTGCAGACACGGGGAGACTGGCGGCTTAAATTCCTGTGGGGTATCGCCCCTCTTTTTACATCCCATGTCTCCCTGTCTTGTCCCTCCACCCCCCAATATCCGTTTACAGCAAATAACATGCATTCAGGTAACAAAGAAGATGAAATCGCTCGAGGGAGGAACCTCTCATATAATGGCTGCTTTAATTGCACTTTTGCGCATTTAATTACATGCATGCAGAATTAGACACGCGGCGCTTTGCGCACAGCGGCAACATGGTGAACGCCCTTACTCTCATTAGCCCTAAAGCCACCGCTAATGATGCCAGCTTTTTATATCTCGGGCAATAAGGGAAGAATGTCTGGGGAATCATTAAACCTGCAAGGGCCAGCAAAGCGTTTATTCATCACCCAAAGCGCATTTTACTACTTGCGATCGTCTGAAATGCTCGCAGCTCGCGTGGAAGCTGCCTGGCAGCCTGACGCACCCCCTGCTGCCCCCGCGCACGTCTGGCCCAAGTTGCCGTAGCGAAGCAGTGCAAGATTCAGATGGGTGGTTATAAAAGTAAAATGCAGTGCAGACAGCTGTACATCAACAGGAAGCAGTGCAATATCCTCTCTAAACTACAAGAGCTACTGCGTTTTTCTTGTCTATGTGCAGTTACTAAGTGCAGTTTACACATATATATACACATATATATACACATACAGACACCTGTCCTATCTCCTTCCAATTACCCAGACTAACCCTATATATACAGTGATCCAGCCATGAGCAGCAGGGGGGGGGGGGGGGTTAAGCACAGCTGCCTCTTCCTCACTCACTTTCCCCACTATCTAAATGAGCTCCAAATGGTGCCAGGATTGCACCCCCCCTCTCAGGACACCTCCCCGCAGGGTTCATAAAAAGCCAATGGAGGACATTTTGAGAAATAGTTCCAGCTGCTGTCAAAACATGAAGTGACCCCCCCCCCCCCCCCCCCCCCCCAAAGCAAAAGCAGAGCCACGGCGTTCCTGCCACTAACATCCACATCTGAGCTAGTGATGTCACTGTGGCCTTCAGCGAAGCAGCATGCATCCAGACGGGGGAACTGCAGCTCATCAGTGCATCCTGCAACTGCTAATACCTCATATGCCACTGACAGACCGAAACATGGATCTCACAGTCAGAGCTTTTCACCACGCAGATCCGGAACCGGTTCCCTGGGGTAGGGGGAGAGCCCAGACATCGGACAAACGCTGATAAACGGGAACAGCTGCATGAACGCTGTGCATTGGCGACAGAGCCCCAGATGCAAGGAAAATGGGTAAAACACAGTCCGGCGAACCGGTGACCCTAATGTGCCTACAACGTGTGAAAATGCATCCTGCAACAGCACCTTGCCTCATGCTGGGACTTCCAGAGACTGGTTCCAGGCTCTCTGTGACGTGGCAGGCGAAAGGAAAATCAGAGCAAATCTAGGCATTTTAAATAGACTTTATTTAAAAAGGCATTACTCAGTAAAACAGACCACAGCAGCTATACAAAAGGAAACGACCACCTGACAGCCTCCGCGCAGAGGCGAGGCGGGACGGCAGTCAGGCTCAGAGGAAGGCGACGGAAAGGGGGCGGGGCGGGGGGCGGAGCCTGGTCAGCATGACCGCGGCGGTCCGTCTGCCTCGAGCGGGAACAGGCGAGGCCTTCAGCAGAGTCTGGGGCGATGTCTCTGGTGCAGCTTGACGGGCGGCGCCTAGCAAGCGCCTGGGGGCCCCTGGGGGCCCCTGGGGGCCACCTCCGGCACCCCTTAGCAGTCTTTATATACAATATCACGCTTCGGTTTGATTCTTTTTTACCAGGCTGGCGCCGTGTTCGCAAGACGTCTCATGCGCCTGAAACAAAGAACAAGGAGACGTCTGAGGACGCAGAGTACGGCCCAGCACTGCAGAGAGCAGAGGCAGCGACGCAGCCTCGATTATACGCATGCCTCACAAAGCAGTCAATGCTGCTAAACATGCACCATGTCCCTCGAAAGCTGAGCCTGGACCCGTTCAGCCTCATCAGCGTACAGATCAATATTTAAATCGCTTGAGGGTTTTTTTTAGGTACTGCGGGGGCTCTGAGCCTCCATGTGACCCCCGGGGGGGGGTGAAGGGGAAGCAGGACCCACCTAGTGTTCCTATCCTGGTCTCGGATTTTTTTCTCCATCTCAGCGTCCGTCAGCGTCTCCAGCAGGGGGCACCACTGGTCGGCGTCTCCTGTATTGCGGATGGCTATCTCCACGGTGGGGAGGGGGTTCTCGCTGCAGGAAAGTTAGATCCTGGCTGAGAAAGACGGCGGGCATAGGAGGGACGCAAACGGCGGAGGGTGAAAGCGGCGCCGGGGCGAGTTGATATTTCACTTCCTCTTACGTTAATCTTGTTCTACCTCGATCGCTTCAGGGCTCGCTTTCAAAACATCATAATCTGTATTGTTCTGTGAAACAGCTTTGGGGGGGGGGGGGGTTGTGCAGTTTTCTGCCTGAGGCCAGCCGGGATCAGGCAGAGCGAGAGGCATCCATCAGTCCCAGCCCGCAGCACACGCTAACGGCAGGAAGTGTGTCGCTACGCTAAACGCGTTTCAGCACATCTGACAACGGGAGTCTGGCTCTTTTCACAGCGCACCATCGACGGGTTCGTTCCGAGTGCGGCGTCTACCGTAAAATCCGCAAACAAAAAGAATCTGGCCCCAGGGCTGTTTCCAAAATTGCCCCTTTCATGGTCTGACAAGCTGAAGTTGTCATATTCCTGGGGAGGGGGTTGGTTTTATGGATAATTTGAGGGTATTATACTTCAGAACAGCCTTGCAGCTGTAAGGGCATTCAGGGATATGAAAAGGCTGTGAATGAAGCCACTATTACATATTGTTCCTTTTAACCAAGGTTTGGCTTTAATCTCGTTCACAGCTTAAAAATAAAAAATAAACAAAAGGCACTGTGTACATCTGAGCCCAGTGTTTACTTGGGGCGTCAGCTGCATTCAACAAAGTGCTTTATCGACAAAAATATCTGTTCCACTGACACAAATGCTTAAATAGTCATGCTAATTTAATAGAGCTAAATATAACAAAACAAAAAAAAAAAAACTTAAACAGAACACGAGAGGCTGATAGCGGAAGGACTAAAGCTTTCCGAGGGATTCGAAAAAAAGAGTATTGACGTAAATCTGGACCAATTAAAGGGGACGGGGGGGGAGAAAAAAAAAAAAACACATCTGGTCATCAGATTCCCTCTCAACCATCAAGAAATGCCTCAAGACTCAAATGTTCTTCTGGGATCACTTCAAGTCCTACAGATCTCTTACCAGGTCTATTGTGTTCCTTAAAAGCACTTATTGTTGCATGTTGCCCGTTAACAGTTGTCTTTTTAGGCTCTTGCTACGTTAGAAAGGCACCAGTTACTGGTCACCCACTGGAAACGGAGCCCAGGGGAGTCGACTGCTCGACAGCTGAATGTTTGTAATGTACAATCTGCCAGGCTTGTGTGTCGCTTTGGACACAATCGGCTGCTAAGTAAGTATGTTTTCACTGATCAGGGAGAAGCAGCAAGTCATAGAGGGAGAGTATCGGGCTGTGCGGGCGGAGTGACCTGGTGAACCAGGACAGCATTGGAGGGGGAGGGCGGGGCTTGAACGAAGGACGCCAGCAGAAAAACACGGACATGTCTGAGGAACTAAAGAACAGTCCAGCACTTCAGAGACCGGGGCAAAACAGCAGCTGACAGTGAAGGACAGAGGCAGGTCAGGCAGGAATCAGCAAGCCAATCAGGGCAATCGTAAACTGCCGGAATGGCGGCGTTCGTTTTCTTTGCAAAAACAAGGGATTATGTGGAAGCACTTCACACGCGAAACTGGGTGGGGGGGGGGGGTGCTGATAAATGTGTTTGAGAGTGGTCCTAAATGCAGCCAGTAAACAGGATGCAGTCCAGAGACCCGCTTCGTGAGTCATGGGTTTCTGCCTGAGTGGCCGGCCACCCCCCCCCCACAACTCCAAATGGAGCCAAGACTCTATTGATTGGCTTTACAAAAAAAAAAAAAGAGGGGGGGGGATAGTAAACTGAACCATTATTCTGAAGTCAGTTTTATGAGTGTGTGAAAGAAAATGATTAAGATCAATGTAAGCATAAAAACTATCAAACCCGGCTCTTGGGGACTCCAACACCAAAAGGCGTTGGGATGCAGCGAATGCTCCCTTCCAGTAGGGGGCGGCGTACCTGAAGGCGTACGTCCTCTGGTGCCAGCTGAGCTGGCCGCGGATGCTGTAGGCGATGGTGGTGACGAACTCGCCGCCCAGACCCAGCTCGGAGCACAGCTTAAGGGCAAATGTCTCCGGCGAGTTGTCCTTCTCCGACATGTCCCACTCGAACTGGTCCACCAGGGAGATGTTCCCCACATGGATGTTCAGCTGTAGGGAGGGAGACCAGGTATGACATCCCAGTTTGAGACCCTACTTCTTAAGGCACTAAAATCACTAACCGACTGCATGCTGCTACAGTATCTGCCAAAAAACTAAAAAACAGCACAATAGAAACTTATTCCAAAAGCAGCCCAAGGTAAGGATTCATTGATTCCTTCCAAAGAAAACAGTTAATGCTCAAGGCAAAGAAAGACAAGCCAACTTCAATGACAGCTCTGGAAAACGTCCATCAAAGCACCTCCGTCCATCCGTCCATCCATCCATCCATCCATCCATCCATCCCCCATAACAGCTTTTCCAGTACAACGACCATGAAGCCTAATCCGGGCTCACTGCAGGCTCTCACATGTAAAACGCAATCTTCCTATATGACTAGGATACATCACAGAAGCATTTTTCCCAGGCAAAAGAAATGCCTGGCTTTTCTCTACTGATTGCCTAGGCATTTAGTTCAAAGCAGGAAAACAGAATTACAATTAGTTGCTTTGATGAGTCGTATTTGAAGTCACAAACTTCCCCCACCAAAACTGGTTATGCATTAATTTTCCATTGACCGTCAACCCAGTACAGAGTCACAGAGAGGCTGGAGCCAGTCCCAGGAAGCAGAGGGGACGAGGCAGGGGGCTGCCCGGGACCGGAAGGGACAGTCCGTCAGAAGGTACACAAGCTACGGACAATTTAGCTAACTGCATGCTTTTGGATTGTGGGTGGGAAGTGCAGCACTCTAGAGAGAACAGGCACACACAGGGCAGGGAACGGGAAGTCAGCGTGCTTTTTTTTTTATATAAAATCTGCTTCACAGAAGCACCTTTCACTCAAGGGTGAGAAGGGAAGTGATGGGGGGGCACTTAAAGCTGCAGTGCTGCAGATATAGGTCTGGATACCTTGATGATGACCCTCTGATCTGTCTGCTCATCTAGGATGCTGTCCGTGGGGTAGGACTCGATCTGCTGGCGAATGGCCGACGCGATGGCGGGGACGAAGGTCAAGGGATTCAGGTCTAGGTCGTCGCACAGGATCTCGGCGAACATCTCCGGGGTCATGAGCTTCTCTGGAGGGTGGGGGGGGAGGGGGAGACTCAGCGTATCACAACTGGGAGAAGGCGGGGCCACTGTCCTCTAAAACGAACGGAGGTGGGGTCGTGACCCCGACCCACTCAGCCCCACGGCCGTACCATTCATGTTCCACGTGAAGGCGTCCCTCAGCTTCTGTCCATCGATCTCCATGTCCAGGCGGATGGGGACCAAGACCTCCAGCTGGGTGGCGTTCTCGTGGATGACAGCAGGGTCATGGTCATCGAAGCTAAGGCGAGGAGAAAAACAAGAAATCATGTGTAAACACTCAAGACAGATGATTTCGACATAAAATTTGGAGAGGAGTGATAAAATGAGGGGGAGGAGGATGAACTGCCACTCCACTGTTATTTACTCAGATACTGCATAAGGAATTGCGGAAATTTCCAGAGAAAGTTTATGAAACACAAATGTGTCATGCCCTGGTTGGGTTTGTTCATTGAGATTACAATTATGGTAAGATGTCATGAGATTTACTTTGGTAAATTTGGGAGGGGGATACAGATGGTCACAGCTGCACCTATGACAGCCCAGAGGAGCATGATGTCTTGGCAGCTCAAGGTGTGAAACGTCCTGGAGGCAAGGTGACAACAGAGCTGCAGATGGCCTTGGCACCCCCCCCCTCCCTGTCCAAGGCCACAGAGACCGCTGGGGGCCAGGGACATTCCCCCTTGTTATGACTGATGTACAGTGAGAATTCACCATTCCCAGGAAATACAATCGTGAACTGGGTTTCCCACAGTACGAATCTCCAGCGAGCGCACCCAGTGCACCCCGGCAACCAACAGCACCATCATAAAAAAATATTTTGCTCTGACAGGGATTAAAATACGAAAGAAACATGATCGTTACACTTTCAGGCGCAACAATTATTGCCTGATTTTTGCTGCCAGTCATTAAAAACTATGGAGCCTTTTGAAACTGACACCTGAAATTACTGCAGAAAGGTTATGTCCTTATGCAGGTATAAAGCTGAACCAGGACTCAATCATATGATAGACCATGTATAGGGATATATATATAAAAAAAAGATATTACTGATTAATGATGCCTTCAGTGCCCCAGTCTAGAATTCAGTTTCCACAAAATCAACAATGAGGGAAAAACAAAACAAAAAAAAAACAGGCCGGACATGGTGGTAGACATAGGTGACAGGACCACGAGAATAACATTTAGGATCACAAGTGGAGATTGTAATCGAGGAGACTGCAGGTATCCCGTTACAGGTGTGTGTCGTGGTCATGTCATAGGCCCTCTCTGGCTCGCCATGACGAGAAACGGGAGGTCTGCGAGATTTCCGAGTGAAAGGTCACCGTCAAGAACGGAGTCCATCAAGAAAGGAGCTGAGTCAGGAAGTGGGGGCTGCTCGTGTTTTCCGTAGGATGCAAAGGAAAAAAACAACAGCTGAGAGCAAGAGGGGAGAGCCAGGGGGAAAATAATCATACAGAAGAGCCCCCACTCAGGCAGGGCATGACCTCACAGAGCTGACGGTGTTTACGGATTACAGATTCTTTCTTAACCACAGGGAACACAGGAAAGATGCAAGAGGACGCAGGCACAGTTATAAGGCAAACAGGAGGAACTAGACGGGAAATTTCAGCGCCCCCCCCCCCCCCCAATGTCCAAAATCCAATAGAATGTCAGACCTAGGGGCCTATTTCAGCCTAGAAAAAAACAAGTCGAGCTGAGAATTCAATACGAAGCATCACCTGATAATATCGAGCAGCTTAAACAAAACTGAAGCATTTGGTAAAATGAATCTGCGAAGTCCGACCTCCAAGGATGCGTCTCAACACACAGAAAAGTGGAAAGTTCCATGCAAAGAGAGGCAGCGTTGCTGAGGCAGCCGGCGCCCTAAGAACACAAGGGATGACAGTCCAGACAGACGCCTGAACGGCAGACAGACGCAGTGCCATGAGCAGGGACAGGGAGAGACGGACAAACTCAGCAAGCGGCTTTCTCTCGCTCGCCTGAGGGGACTCACCAGAGGGGGAAGGTGCGCTTCTTGTCACGGCCCACGCGGTTGCGGTTGATGGTGGTGGAGCAGGGCACAGCATCCAGGTGGTGTGAGCTATTGGGAAGTGTGGGGACCCACTGGCTGTTCCGTTTCGCCTTCTGTTCCCTGCGGACAAAGTGGCCCATCAAACACCATCCAAATAAGGGCATATGTAGCAGCCAATCACAAACCCTCTATTCAACCCCTTACTTCCATACAGCAGTCCTTCATGCCCACCAATGATATAGCACACCAAAACCCATCAAGAGAGTAATGGAAGGAGAGGCTCTAAAATTAAAGCAGCAGTCACTAGATGTTATATCTGACGGTATCTAACTTTACCCTTCCCTAAGCAAAAGCATGGATATTTTACTACTGAAATTCATTGTTTAGCTATTGCTTGTTTACATGGCTTACACTTCTCCCCAGAATTCTCCATCACTGCAGCACTTTCCGGAGGCTTTGAAACACACACCTGAGATAGGCTGGGGGCTCTGTGCTGATGGACACGGCTTTGTACTTCTCATCATTGCCCTCGAAGATCTCCTCCACTTCAGATGCCTTCAGCAGAGTCACACTGGTGGCTAGAGTTGTGTAACCATGATCTAACACAGAGGAAACACTGAAAATACTGCCATACAGAAGATGCGGCTTTATGGTTATTTGATTAGGTCTGGGAGGAATCATCTGCAGACAGAGAGCTCAATCTCTCACTGCCCCGTGACACCTCAGAATGGGACAATGACTGGGATAAAGTCTACACTCACCGTGTGACGACGCTACTATTTTCTTTCTTTCCTCCACCGAAGCGAGTCTCCTCCAGAGTGATGGGTACCTTTTGTACAGGGAACCCCTGAACATGCGCAGATAATTTCCTACCTGTCTCGAGGGGAGACAGCAGACATCAGTGAAGCTATGAAACCAGCTAGCTGTGTAATATTAAAGTCATAAAATGTTTCCAATGGGAGCTGGCTGACTTGTTTATGATTATATGTTATGCCTCAAATTTTTTTGCAAAAAGAAAAAACAAACATCTGTCCTCTCACAAGTACAGCAGCATGATGGAAAAAGGTCACCGTTAACAAATCTAAAACATGTGCTCTTAATGTTTTGTAAAGAACAAGTCATCTATATTTCTCCGTCATGATTAATCGCCCTGACCGTTAACGACCCTGTAATTAAAACCATCGTGACCTCATATGGTTACTTTTGAGTTAAACAGTACAGACAAGAGTAGTGCTGCCCTTTCGGCGATGGAGCTGCGTTCGCATTATTTTCATTGCTTTTAAGATTATGTCATTAACTTTTTCTTTAAAAAAGTGGGAATTTCACTAAAACACGACTGGACACGTAAATATTACAGACGTCAAACACCCACGAGCTAGGTGAGCTTACAATTTCGGTTCAGTTATTCCTGTTGGCATTATAATAAAAACAACACATGTCAAATTCAACATACGTGAAAACATGGTATAATATGACGTCTATGCCCCAATAACAAAACAAAACAAACAAAAAAAAACAGAGCGACAACGCAGGCCTGTGTCTTACTGACACTTCGGAAGCACGAGCAGCAGACTGGCGACAGTACCCTCTGGAGAGAGTAAGATAGTTAATCCAACAGGACTACAGAAACAGTACTGGTGCGTATAAATAGGGACCGAGGTCAACCCAGTACACAGTTCATTCATTCAAAACCAAGCCGTTAACTAACCAGCTAGCTAATCAGCTAGCTGCGAGCCAGATCTCCTGACCTAGAACTGTTTCCGAAGCCCAACTAACTAGCTGCACGCGCTCCTGAGATCAAATGCACGCGTTAAGCGGGTACATAGTGCAGCAGCATGTATACCTCTGATCCAATCATGTAAAAATCCCCATCTTCTTCTAGCTGAAATTTAAGAGGCTTCTGCCCAAAAGTTTTGCTTAGCGCCATCTTGGCTGTGAGAAATGAACCATTGCGCATGCGCAAAGTTAACGGCGTACCCTCTACGTCTGCAGCGTACAAGCAGCGACCGTGTTGCTTGGCATAGTGTTAAAAGCACGTGTCACAACGTATACAGTTACGTCTGAAATATCCAGTGTAACGGAGGATCGTTTCTTTAAGTGTGTCACTGACTACAGACGGCGCTGCGTGTAAAATAACAATAACTCAAAATAATAGCCCTTGTCTTGAGCAGCAGGGCGTAGTTAAGCCTATTTTAGGCGGGCTTTAGCCCCCTAATAAATGTGTATTTATTTGCTTAAGTCATAAATAGTTCGCCATAACCCCCCCCCCCCCGGTCATAAATATTTTGCCATCCCTCAGTAAAGACTCAGCCCCCCCATCCATTTTAATTACACCCCTGCTGAGCAGCATAGGGGAGTATGTCCAGGCAGCAGGACACCCTGAGCTTGATTACAGCACGTCGACAGTCTCACACGCTATGTTTAATTTACTGCCTAAGTCCGGAGAAGACACTCATCATTATTTTTTTCTTCCCAAACGTTCTCCTGGCTTTTCGTGATCTCGATATAAGAAAATTTATCTCAAGATCATGTGAAAATTTACTTGTGATCTTAGCCAAAGTTGTTTACTGCCTGCTTCACTGTGCACCACTACATCAGCACACAAGATGATGCTGTTGGAAAATCTCCGTTTGAACCCTATAATGAAGGTTAATAATCAGTCTTACTCAAATTGTATTGTTTCTGACCATTACTTCCTTTAATTATCTAATAGATATATAGTGAGTAGAAGTCATTATACCTGCAGTCAGGGACGGATTATGGGTTGTGTGGGCCCCTGGGCAAAACGTTCACGAGGCCCCCCCCACCACCAGCACCACCACCACAACCACCACAATTCAAGGGTCCTTGGCAGCCAAATGCCCTCCCTCCATGTTTCCATCAGAGGCCCTATAGGGTCAGGGGCCCTTGTAGGCAGAGGATCAAAGAATGTAGGCCCTCTAAAATAGACAAACAAAAATACATTGTTGATAAGCGTTGCAAATTGTTTTGGGCTAGGGGCCCCACGGGTCCCCTGCACCCCAAGGGCCCCTGGGCAGCGGCCCCGCTGGCCCGGTCCGTAATCCGTCCCTGCCTGCAGTCTGTGCTTATGTCCTCTCGATTACAGATCAGAAATTAGACTTATTCAACCTTATCTCATTGAAATACTCCCTTTTACTGGAAAACTAATTCAATGCTGTGGTTTAGTTCTCCTCTATTTCTCAAGTGAGGAACACCTGTATAATGATTGTATAGCACTGACAGACGTGCTGCTGTTTCTGCTTGTGACAGTCCGTGATCAAAGTAAAATCAAATGTGCTGGCCGATGATGATGTGTAATAAAATTAAGCTGCTAAACTTGTCGTGAGTTCACTGGTGAAAATAAAGTTGTGATCTCAATATAGTGAAAGCTGTCAGACAACAGTGTGGCCTCCTCCTGCCTTGCTTCCACAAGAAAACAAGGGAGGATTTAGCCTCTGCTGAGCCGTTGGATTTTTGTACAAAGCAAAATTTCACCGCATTCTGATGACAGTTCCTCCGGAAACGATTTGAACATTCAATGCTGTTTGGTACCTGCCCAAATCAAATTTATTGTCTTAACCACAGGCTTCAGGACATGAGCGTGCTGCTGGATGATGCAATGATAGTTCAAAAAAATCAGGGGTGAATCAGGGATCACTCGGGAAAATCAGGGTCTGCTTTGCAGAGGGCAGTAAACCCGTTCTGTCTTCCTGTCATAGCTGAGCATTCATCTGTTGTTATCGAAACCAGTTTCTTTAATGCCACATTATTCTCAACAAAATAACTTTTCAATACATTGGGGAAGCAATTAAAAAGGCCAATAGGATGTTGGGTTACATCTCTAGGTGTGTGGAGTTTAAGTCAAGGGAGGTGATGCTAAGATTATACAATTCCTTGGTAAGACCCCACCTAGAATATTGTGTGCAGGTTTGGTCACCATACCTTAAAAAGGACATTGCTGCCTTGGAAAGGGTGTAACGTAGGGCTACAAGAATGATTCCTGGACTTAGAGGAATGTCTTATGAGGAGAGATTAGCTGAGCTGGATCTGTTCAGCCTCAAGTAAAGGAGACTAAGTGGGGACATGATCCAGGTATATAAGATTCTAACAGGTCTGGATGCTGTTCAGCCAAACGGCTACTTCAATATTAGTTTAAATACTAGAACTCGTGGCCATAAGTGGAAATTAGCGGGAGAACATTTTAAACTGGATATGAGAAAGCACTTCTTTACACAGCATGTAGAGTATGGAATAGTCTTCCTGTTAGTGTACTGCAAGCTAAAACCCTGGGTTCCTTTAAATCAGAGCTAGATAAGATTTTAACAACTCTGAGCTATTAGTTGAGTTCTCCCCAAACGAGCTTGATGGGCCGAATGGCCTCCTCTCGTTTGTATAGTTCTTATGTTCTTGTACACGTCCACTCCTTTGGTGGTTGTTTTCAAAGTTTACAATATCAAAAAATCTTCAAATATCATTCTAATGAAGAAGAAATCATGCTCAAAATTCTTGTGAACTGTAGTAAACTTATGTTCCACACTGCACCCTTTCCCAGCTGCAACGCTCACTCCACATATTAGGCACACACACTTGTCTTTAACATTTGTGAATAAATATTTGTTCTCCCACTCTTGATGGAAAAAATATGTTTTCTGTTTTTTCTTTGACAGGCCTGTTTCAGTACTCATGATTAGACTTTTCAATAGTTGGCCTTCAATAGGCTTGTTTCAATAGTTAAAAGACAAGAAACTTTTTTGTGGCTGTTGTAAGGCTGTGGAGAAACAATTATCAATCAGAGGTGCCAGATTGGAATTACAATTAGATATTAAAACATATCCAACCATAATTTGTAAACGCATCATCCAATCAAATTTATCTTAATGTGTAAACACGCCCAATCTGGCAACACGATTAACGTAAATGGTGTGGTGTGATTTTTCGGCCAGTGAATGTTAGCTATATTTGTATAATTGTATAATTTCAGGAATCTGGTCCCCATAAGGGAAAAAAGCAGGTATTCATCATGTTGTGGGGACATTGTGTCCCCATAAGGTAAGGTATACCCACTCATACACACACACACACACACACACACACACACACAGCCTTGAAAGCCAGAAAAGTAAGCCATTCCTTTGAGTGGAAATAATCTGACAGTAACAAAAACACAACAGGCTGTATAACACCAAGGTTTGACAATGCAGTAATATTTTAACTTTTAAATTTTACAGTTAATCTGTGTTTAGTCCTATAATACCAATATTCCTTAGCTCATCTACAATCATCTTACAGATAATATGTTTGATAATTTTAGTTTCAATGATTTAATAGCGATATTTTGTTTTCAGAATATAACAGCAATTAGTTCATAGTTTAAAAATAGTTCCCACGCTATATAATACTACAATTGAAATTTAAGATGAATCTTTATCTTAATGATAAAAATAACATTTCTTGTAACTGCCTGTCCTATTCAGGGTCGTGGGGGGGGGGGGTCCGGAGCCTATTTGGAGGCTATGGGCACAAGACAGGGAACGACCCAGGATGGGGTGCCAAACCATCACAGAATAAAAATAACAATTTAATGATAATAGACAATACACCCTATACATTATAGATTATAATGAAATACTTAATCAAACAGTTGGGACAAAATCTTACTTCCAAGAAGTCACTGTGTAACATTTTTATGTCATATAGCCAGCCATATGTTATCTGGATAAGGCAAAGGGAAATTGGAATTATTGCCTACTACAATGAAAAAAAAAAACCATAGACTTGCACATAGTACACAAGATTAAAGTTTGGATAATGTCCCACTCTCAAGATTAATAGCAGAAACATCTGGAAAACCTTTTCATTATCAAATTCCTCCACTGGTTGCCTTTATTTGCGTTTCCTTAAATATACTTTCATTAAAGAGTACAGTAGAAGGATAGAAATACGTGTAAATAGGGAAATTGTGTTTTCTTTCCAGAATAAACTCGGTTTAATGAAATCGTGGACAGAGGCTGCGTACGACTGAGGGCACACAGCCAGGAGGGGGGATGGAGGAGGGGGGGGGGTTGTAATTGTGAGAAACAGACCTGTTACATGGTCCTTACCCCCCCACCCGCCATGGCGCCACGAGTCTGCGTCAGCTCAAAAGGGTGCTGGAGTTATCATTCAAGTGGAGCCGGGGGCTGAGCAGGGATGCGGGAGCCATGGCAACTGGGCAACGCATCACCCACAACGTGACCCCGAGAATAACGGGGCCAAGAATGGTGGGGCTAATGCACCCCTCCCTCAGTGAGGCCCTTCACTCTGCTAACATAATATATGCGTGAGAAGCCACGTCTCTGCACACAAAGCAATTTTAATCTCCTCACACTTTTTACCCATAAGGCAAAGAAGAGGAGTGAACCTATCCTGGTTCTTTCAGCTCTGCATGTGGCTCAGTGGCCCAAGCCTCTGCGCCTGTGCTCAGATGGTTGCTGGTTCAAGCCCGACCCTGGCACGTCTGTGGGGTTTCGAGCTCTTCAGATAGATGGCATCAATTTGTGTTTGGTTACTTGTGCTTAAGTGTAGGGCTGGGTAGGGTTTAAGGTTGTCATACTGTAGTTCAGATTAGGGTTTTGACCATAGAAATGAATGGAGACTCCCCACAAAGATATGAATACATGGACTGTGTGTTTGTGTGTCCTATACGAGTTTATTCCTGCATACTAAAATCATGTGGTTGTGTCAATTACAGTCTATAAATTGCCCATAGTGTGTGTCCTCTCTTCTGAAAGTACAAGCAGCAATTTTAATAAATAAAAACAGAGAACAACTAAATAAATAATGCAGTTGTTGTTCAGTCTTTCCAGTCTGAAATTGAGTATTTGGTGTTGTTACTACAATAGTATAGTATACTAAGACTGGCGATGTAAGCCGGTGACACTTCAGTGTTACTCAGCAGCACTGGGAGTGAATGAATGCAGGCAAACTCTTAGCTCATTTCGTCACTCCCTCATTACATATTTTTTCCACGCAGATTTATTTTTCCCATTTTTATTGCCATGATGTTTCGGGGGGAAAAAAACTCAGCAGAGGTCTTAATAAGATATCCCTTGATTTGTTTGTTGCTTGAGAACCATTCTTTGGAAAATTGCAACTACAGCTTTCATTGTTTTTAATAAAACGGTTTTGAAAGGCAAAGTCACAGTTGTACATTTTGCAATGAGCAAACTGAGCTGTTACAGCCTTCTGCAGTTATACAGCAATGCAGTGTTTCAGAACGGAATGAGCCCTCATCCATCTCGATAGCTATACCTGCATGTCCTATGCAGGTTGGTGGGGGTCCAGGGCCTATAGGCACACAACAGGGAATAACCAAATGGGATGGGGTCCAACACATTAGGACTGATGTTTACAGACTGTTAGGGGGAAACCAGTGAACCCCAAGTAATCGCCGTGACAACATGGGGCAAACAGCAAACTCCACTCGCATAGAGCCAGGACAGAGACTCAAACCCCAGTCCCAGAGGTGTGAAACAACAGCAGTAACCCTTCTGCTCCCATGTCACCCGGCATGCATCCATCAATCCATAAATCCATCCAAAAGTACATTGTAAGTAACAATACTTTCACTATACTATGGGTTTGACTGCTCTACCCGCCCTTAAGGATTTAAAATTCAGCAGTTTGTTTGAAGTGGACACAGGAAAGAGGGTAGTCAGTTTACTAATCATTTATAATTACTCTGACAAATTCTAGACTAAAATATGTGCATCGTTTTGTTTTCCTAGTGTTTTTATCACTTTTTTTGCGAGTACAGTGCCATGTTGTAAGATTAATTAATACTAACAACAAATGAATTGCAAAAATAAAAGGTAATAGTGGAAAACCCATTTCAATGCTGTGAGATGCATTTTTGGGTCCTATATCGCCACCAGGTGGTGAGTTTAAAAAACTGCAGCAACTTACTGGTATGACCCCGGTCAGCCCACATCCAGTACTGGAGCTTCAGAATCAATTATTCTGTAGTTATACACTTTCAAACCATAAATGTGTGCAAGTACCAAGCGTCAGTTATTCACGCTGTATAAAACAAATTAATTTTGTGTTTAGTTGCATATATGTGTGCTTTCACGTTCAGCATTCGATCTCTAACATCATTTGCTGGTCACATACCGAAAAAAAAACCCCTGTATTTTTGGATTTCTCAAAGCACATTAAATTAGCACAAGCTTCACATGGGACCAACACTTTTTTTGAGATTTAACATATTTTTGAACACATGTTAACTTACAATGCCCGGTTTAAGATGGAGAAGAATGGCGGGGATGTGAGGGTGTAATCATTACTCGCACAAGCAGGCAGGCTTCCTTGCAGCACACTGTAGGCATTTATTTAAGTGATTCTTTTCTTCAGCTTTATAAACAGCACTTAGGAATGAAAGGGGTAACAAATGAATCCATTATACAAAAGGCTAAACTAACATGGAAAGCAGAAAAGCAGGCGGTATCCCCGGAAACGAGTGGACCTACAATGACATGTTATAAACTTTGTATATATATGTACATATTTTATATATATTAATTTATAATTACATAAGAAAGAAAAATATACAATGTTACACAAAACACTATGTACAAATCAATAAATAAAGCAAGGACACACAAAAAAAGAAGTTATAAAGAACTTTTTTTTTGTTTTCTTGTAGAAAAAAAATACAAAAAGAACGCAAAACGAAAAAGACTGTAGTTTGTTAGAAAACTCTTTGTTTCTCTTTTTTGAACAGAAAAAAAAAATGGCAGCGACTCTGGGCGGCCTTTTGAAACAGAGGGGGCCTTTGTCCGATTCGGCTGGCAGACAGGCGATGAGCGAGATGCCATTGGGAGGTGTAGAGGTAAATCAGTACCCATGTTCCACAACAGGTCTTTGGCAAAGGTTTAGGTTTCTCGCCCCCTCCCACCCACCCACCCCGTAACCCATACACAAACACACAGTACCTCCAACAGACATACATGCAATTCCCAACAACACCAATCTCTGACCAGTACCAGACTTCCCTCCAAACAAGCTGATTGGCTCGCTCGCCCGAGATTGACATCGGAGAGAGGAAGCTGCAGCCAATCAAACAACAACCAATAAGCCAAATCTGCAGTTACACACTGAACAAATTTCACTCAACAGAAGTCCAGGATGCTGGGTGATCTTTAGTCCTTAATGACAAACCACAATGCTGCCTAAAACTCCACAATGAGGCACCTTGGCTATCGCCGTATTATGATGGAAAACATTTTGGGAACCAACCATGCAGGGGTTTCCTGTTTCAAATTGGTAACGGGCTGTTTGGCGCCACTTTTAGGCCTGGAGTAAAATTCAACACTGCCTGTGAAACTGTGGGCAGCCAACATTATGTGTTCTGTCACATGGTTGAGTGCTGAAGGACAAGACAGTATCATAGTCTCTTGGAAAAGGGGGGGGGGAATCCAGAATGATTTGATATGTATGTCAGTGGTAACACAGAGCTCATCTGTCATACACTCTAAGATACAGAATTACCTGATTGGTCCCATTTTTCATCACAATGCCGTATACCGATATTAAACCCAAAAGCAACGTCTGCTTGAGGTAATAACTATCCAACACAAGTTTGATTTACTCACAAACACAGGATTTCAGCCAATTAAATCTAATTCCATGCTAATCAATATGGCCACTCAACATTTATAAATTTAACAGTGCTGTTACTGTTCATTTGTACATTCTTTATTCATTTCTACTGGCGGGCGTGGATCAGACTGGCCGTGTGAGTTGCTCTGTTCCTATTAAACAGGAACACCTTTTCACTCCTTTGCTTCATCTCACCCCTAGTTCTTTCACCTTTTCACGTGCACAATACCAATCTTTAGCAGAGATGCTGTCTCGCACACAAACCCATAAACCCCCCTCCCTTCCTCACTTTCTGCCACTTGTGACTCAGAATATCCCGCTCAGATTTATTTTCTGTTTGGGTTTATTTACTTGTGGAATTAAATAATGAATGGTGTAGTTTATGTGTGTGTTGGTTTTCATTATATTTCACTCCCATGGGAGGGGCATCCTGGGCCCTGCCAGGAGCCAATCACAGTGTCCATACAATGAAAAAAAAAAGCAGGGGGGCGGAGTTGACTGTCAGGGGGCGTGTCCTTCCACCTCTCCAAGTCTACATGTAGTGAAAACTGACACTTTAAAAACCGTCGTATGCTTCATGAATCTGCTTTGCCCTACGTCAGGCTGGTGGCTGGTTGAGGAGGGGGGTGCTCTCTCTGTCTAAGCCGGATGCGCTCATTGGATGGGCTGAGGGTCCATCAAACGGTTTCGGGGATCCCTGACAAACATCTGCTTCCTCTTGCCACAGAATGGCTCTATGGCAACAAGGCCAGATAAAACCGTCATCATTGGACTCTGCAGGATCCCTGGTGATGAGAGAGTCCCCCCGTCTCTGGGAATCAGCCCCCCCCCCCCCCCCCCCCGCAGCTCCTGCCTCTTCCCCTCTATTTGTACCTTCAACTGGGGCTGTTTGGCTGCTGTGTTTTAGTCATTTAGCACCAACCAGAGGAGGAATGTTTTTTGTTTGTTTTTGTTTTTTTGTTTTTTCTTTTTTTAAAAAAAGAATAACCGCAGTTATAACAAGACTAAAGAAGCAAGAAAGTTCCTTATAATGCCCTTCCCAGTATGGCCAAAAAATTCAGTTGTTTTCCACTTCTAAATTAATTTCCCAGAGATCCACAGGGGCCTGCACTGCCCCGAACGTGCAAAGTCAGGAGGGTGAGGGCGTGGCCTATTCAGGCTTCTGTCCCCGCCCACCTTAAGGTAGCAGTCACCGTCAGAAACCTTCCCCCTTCCGCGGGAGTTTTTGGAAGGCACCGCGATGCACAGTACGACACTGCCTAACGTCCCACTCTCCGGGTCCCTGGGGGAAAGAGACCCCCAACCTCTCATCCAATGGCAGCCATTTCCAAGGGGGTGCTGCCAGTGGGGGAAGAGGAAGTGGCTTCAAGGGCATGAGCCAGCCTGCTTGTGTAACAGCAGTATTTCAGGGGAGTGAGGTCCTGCCTCCATCTGGCTATTGGTCTGTTTCCTGGACTAAGCGGCAGGTGATTGGCTCCTCCCTGCCTCTGTGCCAAGCACCTGGGTGGATCTGAGAGGCTGGGGCACGTGGGTCAAAGGCAGGACGGGATGCAGGAGGACTTCCTTCTCTATGGTGAGGGGGGTGACAGGTCCTTTAGAAGATGCCTTTTGTGATTTTTAAGCCCTTCTGCTTCATGCGCGGCAGGGTGGAGCTGGCCACGTGCTTGGCCCGCGCCCCGCGGGCGAAGCCGCGCTTCTTCAGCACAAAGTCATAGTTGGCCGTCGAGTTCATGGCGTAGAAGACGTTGGCGTTGTCTGGGATCTTCAGCTCTGCAGGGGGAGACCAGCACACAGGGGGGGGGGGGGGGGGGGGGGGGGGTGTCAGGTCTGATGCATGCAGAGACAGCATCTGGCATGACAGCTACCTCAGGGGAGGGTCAGTTGGTGATCCTCTGACGGGGGTCCCTTACCTGCACCGCTAAAACTAAATACCCTTCCATATAAATAACGAAAACAGTACACCTCTTTAGATCAAGATCACAGGCCATAAATAACTGGAGAGCCAAACAATTTAGGCACTAACCTAAACAGCACTAATCTTTGGGTTGATGATGACATTATTTGAAAAATTTCACAGCACCCCACACACACATAACTGCAACCTCATGCACAGGTGAAAAGCACAGGCAGCAGTGTCACAGCCAGGATAAACCGCCCACCTTTCTCCTCCGAGATCTTCTGCAGCAGTTCATAGTCCTCTGGTCGCTCGCGGTCCAGGTTGTGTTTGACCATAGCCTTTCTAATCACTGCCGGGGTCTTATCCTGACTGGTGACCTGGGAGATTGAGAGACACTAACAGTCAATCCATGGCTGTGCAGACAGGAACAGGACTTCCTCATATCACACAGGGCACAGGCAGCATCGAGGCCTGGCTGAGCAGACAGGAACAGGAGTTCCTCATATCACGCAGGGCACAGGCAGCATCGAGGCCTGGTTGAGCAGACAGGAACAGGAGTTCCTCACATCACACAGGGCACAGGAAGCATCGAGGCCTGGCTATGCAGACAGGAACAGGAGTTCCTCATATCACGCAGGGCACAGGCAGCATCGAGGCCTGGCTGAGCAGACAGGAACAGGAGTTCCTCATATCACACAGGGCACAGGAAGCATGGAGGTCTGGCTGAGCAGACAGGAACAGGAGTTCCTCATATCACACAGGGCACAGGAAGCATCGAGGCCTGGCTGAGCAGACAGGAACAGGAGTTCCTCATATCACACAGGGCACAGGAAGCATCGAGGCCTGGCTGAGCAGACAGGAACAGGAGTTCCTCATATCACACAGGGCACAGGAAGCATCGAGGCCTGGCTGAGCAGAACAGCATTTTTTCTATTTACTTGGCTTCTAGTCTTCTAACCTCTAAGCCCCCATCTCCCTCCATGCCTTCCTCTCTCCCTCCATACCTCTTTTTTTGATCACCTCTCCATTCCCTGTCTTTTTCTCCTTCCTTGTTTCCCCATCTCTCCATCTCTCCTCCTTCCCTCTATTTCCTCATCATCCCTCTGTCTATCCACCCCCTGATCTCTCCCACTCTCCATTCCCTCTCTCCGACCTCCTCTCTCTCCCTGCACCCGACCCTCGCATACCAGGATGCTCTTGTACATGTTGCCATTGTCCACATCCAGACTGACGCGGATGATGCAGCAGTCGTCTGCCTGCTGGTTGTAGAGGGGCAGCGAGAGCGACGAATAGCTGGACACGCCCGACACAGAGCGCTTGTGGGAGCGGGAGGCCGCCACCGGCGTGGACGACACCGAGGACGAAGAGGCGCTGCTGGAGCCGGAGCCGGAGCCGGATCCCAGCCCCGAAGTATCCAGGGATGACAGCAAGGTGGACTCCCAGAACTGTCCAGCAGGGGGCAACAGAGAGAAAGATCCACTCTGGTTATGGAGGTCAAATTCAATAACAACGATAATAAACTTTTTCCATACTGTCATTATTAGACACAAATAAAACCATCAAACATTACAATGAATAGACATTCCAGATAAAAGAGATATGATCTTTATAGGAAGGTGGAAGACTGAATGAGGAGGAAACGAGAGATGAAGACAATGGGATGAATCTGCAGTGAGCCAAACCCAAGCACACAGCCACACTCCATGCAGGGATGTGCCGATTCACATGGTATCCATGGTAACACACACTGTGTCCCACAACAGCTGTCATATTTTGCACAACCTTGGCTGTATAATTAGTCATTCAGTGTGTACTGAGGGGGTATTCCCTTGGTATCTGCCAGGGGACCCCGAAACTACTGATCACAAGGGCGACCCTGCAAGCCAATCAGTATAATGGTCACAGCTAAACTCACACCAAACAAATCAAATGACGTCAAATAAATATGTCATCATATTTATTTGAGCCCATATCACACAAACAATGACTGCACTGAACTTATATGCACGCACACACACACACACACACACACACACACACACACACTCACACAATTCCCATGTTTGTTAACTGCAACGACACAAAGGAAAAGGAAACCAGCTTCAACTTCACGCCAGCAGAATTTACAATGTTGGAAGATCTTCTGCTGACACAGTTTTTTAACAGGATTAATGGCAGGAACTGCCTTCAGAACAGTTAGTTATGCTCTATGATCTAAGGTCACACACACTGATGTTAGGGTCATGGAACATAGCAGGCACCAGCTAAACACAGGAAATGGCTGCGCTGTGGCGTGACACTCAGGAAGTCCCGCCCCCAAAGAGGAAGAGTGTAATCGTGAAGGACGGAGGAGATGAGAGATGGAGTATGGAAAGCAGTGGGGGTCAAAATTGTACCGTGGGTGCGAGGTTAGGGATGGCACCTTCCCTCCCCAGTGTAGAACTGGAATGTTTTACTGAAGGCGTGGACGTCTACGGGGAAAGGAATCAGAGGTGTAATCACAAGATGGTCAAAAGGGCCGATCACCACGGCAACGGAGGCCACGCCTTCAAGTGCGTGGGTGGGACTTGCACGGACAAGCCCTCACGCGGGACACAGCAGAAGATCATTGTGCATGAAAATGCCGTCAAGCTGTGTGTGAAACTGGTCAGAAGGCAGCCACTGAGCGGCTAATAACTACCTTTATAAAATGCAAATTAAAAAAATTTGATGCAACGTGGCTCAAACTACTGCTGTGAGCATTTATGGACAAAACACATGATTGTTTAGGTCACTCAGCTTAAAAGCAGAGAATCTGGTGCTTTTCACTGGGGAACCAGTTGTTAGAGATTGACATGGAGCCGCTTCGCCTGACCTTCTTCTCGTGGGCGTCCGGCGAGTCGGACGTGAAGCTGACGCTGATCTCCTCCACGTCGGAGCTGCTGGAGCCCGCTGAGGTGACGCTGAGGGAGTCGCCGCCGTCGCCGCCGGTCCCCGAGCCTCCCGTGCCCCCCAGCAGGGGCCCATAGCGCAGTTGGTCGAAGGACTTGGAGTGGGAGCTGGCCACGCTGCTGCAGCTGGCCTCTGTACTGGTGGGCTGCCGACTGGGGGGGGGGCAGGGGAGGGGAAAGCTTACCCAAAACAGAAACAGGGAAACGGCAACTGCATCCTACGCGGGGTCTGCCAGGCGGGCAAAAGGGGCATCAGGCAGGCGGGCATTACGGAGTATTATAATTATAATTATTATTATTATTCTCATTGTTGTTATAATGATAATAATAATTATTATTATCATTACAATGACAAAAATAATAATAATTCGTTAATTATTTATTATTATTATTGTTGGTATTATTATTCATCACCATATTTATGCACAGTGTGTTATCATAAATATACTCGTAAAAGTAAGAACAGATGTGTTGCCGATTGACAGTCAAACAGCATGTCCGCCAAGCCCACGGCAGGGTGTGGAGTGACAGGACTCACTCGCTCCAGCGTTTGATGATGCCTGTGTTCTTCTTGGCTTTCAGCGTGTTGCTGGCCGACTCTGACAGCGGCTCGATCTCGCAGGACTGGCTGTAGCTGTGTGAAGTGCAGGGACAGCAGGGTGAATACTGACAAGCTGGGAGCCTTCAAAGGGTCCTCAGCAATCTGGTGATGTCCCCACGACACTGCTATTTTGTTTTAGCTAATTTTTTTGTTTTCATTTGTGGAGTTTTTTTTTTCATTTTTGTTCAGTGGAGGGAGAATCATTCATCATGTTTGTGTTTGTGCGTTCGCATGCTTGTCTTTTGTTTGCCTTTGTGTGAATGTCTGTCATGTTTGTGCAAATGTATGCTGATGCCTATGTATGTTTCTGCCTGATTGTGTTTTGTACAAAATGCATCGAGGTTTGAGCGCTTGTTTACAGGAGCTTTGTGCTTGTACCTGTGTGTGTACTTGTGCCTCTGTGAGTGTGTGTTTGTGCCTCTGTGTGTGTGTGTTTGTGCCTCTTTGTGTGTGCTTGTGCCTCTTTGTGTGTGCTTGTGTCTCTGTGAGTGTGCTTGTGCCTCTTTGTGTGTGCTTGTGCCTCTGTGAGTGTGCTTGTGCCACTGTGAGTGTGCTTGTGCCTCTGTGAGTGTGGTTGCGCCTGTGTTTTGTCCCTGTGTGTCCTCCATCCCTCCATCCACGCCAGTCCATCCCCCCTCTCCCTTACCTCTCTGCCTCTGTGAGCTTCTCCACCCCCGTGAACCACTCCCTGAAGCGTACGTCCCGTGTGAAGTTGTAGTTGTTACAGGCCAGCTGTAGCAGCTTAATCTGGGCGATCACCTCAAACTCCTGCAGGGCACAGGGATGGGGGGCAGACTCAGCATGACACTTACCCCCCCACCGGCCTTTACCTCTCAGAGAGGCAGCATGACACAGACACACCAGCGTCAGAGTGCTGTGACGATTCCAAACAGTCTGGTGACATGGTCACACTTCCACCTCCGTCGGCATGGTAACACTTCCACCTCCGTCGGCATGGTTACACTTCCACCTCCGTCGGCATGGTTACACTTACGCTTCCAAGATACGACTAACAAAGGTGTTTCCTGCATAATGTTCTGTAACCGTAACAATCCTCACCTTTCTTCTCTTCTCGAAGTTGATCAGCCCACCCTAGACAGGAAATGAAGAGGGAGGAATCAGTTTGTAATTCTATATGGACAGAGCAGTTCAGGGGGGAGGTGAGATGGGGGGCACACTTACATCCAGGTAGTCCTTCATGGCCGTGTCCATCATGACTAGGTCTGTAAGGAAGGTCCCCAGGTACGGAATGGTGCCCTGCATCACACTCTGCAGTGCACAGGAGGGAGGGGTTAACCAGTCATAGCAGTGAAGCCAGTTTTTGCATCACAAGGTTTCTAACACACCATAAGAAGCAGTGATTTCCAGCTTTAAAGGGTTAATGCCGAAACGGCAGTGCCGTGATTACTGTGATACAGGGAGAGCGGGGAAACTGACTGCCTGCATATTACTTTCAGCCCGTTAATTGTCGTGTAATTACAATGAATTATTCTCAGTTGTTTGCAAACTGCAGCTCCGGGAGTCACAGCCACTAGTGGGCGCTGCCTCATTTATGTAGAAATCCCCATCAAAAATTAAAAAGAGAAAATTAAATGCTCTAAGAAAACAACCCCCACACATTATGCCATGTTCGCTTCACTCAGCTGGCTTTTTACTATGGGGGCCATTTTAAATGGGCTTTAACGAATAAGAGCCACGCCTGATCTTATGCTGAGACAGCAGGGATGAGTGCGGATGGGTAGCTTGTCACTGCCCCGTGGGCTTGGTCCTGGAACACCACTGAGCCCATTTACCTCACCATCTACTCAGCAGGCACAGGCTGCTCACACATTACACCCACCTGCCATCTCTCTTTTCATCCTCCCTTTGCCTCATTCTCTAACTCCCTCTCTCCACTTTGCTCTCTGCTCCCTTCCTTCTTCTTGCAGAATTGTCCTGCTTGTCTGTGTTTCTCAGTCTGTTGGTTTTGTACTTTTCTCTTTCCCCCACCATTCTCCCCAACCCCCCATGCCCCCCCCCCAACCCCCCGTGCAATACCCCCCAATCTCCTTACCAAATCCCTCTGCTGCTGTTGCCTCTTCTGAGCCCGTTTAGGGTTGATCTCCAAGGTGGCAAACTTCGAAGTCCCTTCCTGAAGACAAGTCACAAATCAGTGCAGCCTGGGCAGAGATCAGGGATCACTTTTACCATGACAATCAGGGATCACTGTCACCATGACCATAAGAGATCATTTTCACAATGACGATCAGGGATCACTGTCACCATGACGATAAGAGATCATTTTCACCATGACGATCAGGGATCACAGTCACCATGATGATCAAGGATCACTTCCACCATGACATTAGTGTTGGGCGGTATACCGGTTCATATGAAAAACCATCTTTTTATTATTGTTATGATATGAATTTTTCTTATTCCGCAATACCGGTTGAAATAGCCTACACAACGTTCGGAAAGAGGCGTGGCTGGAAACTGAAAGCTCTACATGACATTATTCAAAGATCTGCTGTCCCGATATTGAAATGCTCTGACTTGCTGTTGATTCTCTTTCGGCCACTGGCAGGGAACCGCCACGCCGATAACGGCACCCCCAGGCCTTCATTTCCTCATTCTGCCTTCTCTATCCCTCCATTTTCCACTGCATGATTTCACCTGATGTAAGACACATGCAACTCCATGGCAATGAACATCTCATCACCGTGGAAACTCAAATTCATGATGGTCTCACCTACAGTAAATGTGAGACTATCATGATATGAATAAAACTGTTTTTCTAATTCGCACTGGCTGCCCGATGGATGGGCATTCAGCTTTTCCCAGTATGCCCCCCCCTTCCTGTCACAACAGTCCCTCCCAGGTAGGCTTTACTAAGGGCAGGTTAGATCTTCCAAGAATTCAAGCTGTTTTCCTTGAAGGAGCAGTTAGGAACAGGGATTGCTCCTTAACAAGTGGATAATTTGGCAAATAATTAGTGACCCCACAAACACCCCCAACACGAGGGCTGACATTAAGGGCCCTGTCAGCAGATGAGTCATTAGCTGGACGGCATGCCAGAGTCACAGCAAAGGGCCACGCGATGCATCACCCGCAGACGGAGAGTGGATGCGGGGCCAGCGCCCCCCAACACGAAGGAAACCCCCACCAAACCTCTGCTGATGCACTCTGCTTGCTCTGCTCGCAGCTGCTGCAGGAAATGCAACACCACCGATCTGTATGAAGCGGGGGGGGGGCTTTTTCACCACTGAAACTGCCACCTTGCCTCAAAACCACCCCCAAACTGGCTGCCCGGTCCTGCACCTATTTCTCGTACACACACAACGAAATGCCGGCAGCCACATCTGCTTACCTGTAAACTGTAAGTGGGGGGGGGGGGGCTAACGGCTTTTCAGAAATGTACAGAAATACAGTTACTAGAATAGCTCCCACTTCCGCTAATCTAGGCTGAAAATCTGTGATGAATTAACAGCGCAACTCGACACACAAGCTAAAGCGAAATGCACCCAGGCATCTTGTCTCAATTCAAAATGGGTGATCACTGCTATATCCTGCAGCTTGGAAAACCGTGAGCAGACCTGCTCTTAGGTGTAAGACTGGTTGCAGGACTGCACTGGCTGGATGTCATCCTTTGACCTACCTTGATGAGCAGCTCCCGGCTGAGGGAGTGGTTATTCTCATCCGAGAAGATCTCAGACAGCTCGTGGAATATGCGGAAGTTTTCCCTGTCAGGACAATGGTGGGGAGGGGGGGGGCGATGTTATTCCAGTGAATGAAAAGGAAGTGGTCAAATAATCACCCCCCCCCGCCCCCACCAGGTTCCCTTCCCACACCTGGACACCTCGTCCCAGGTCCGCTTCAGCCGGTACACGGGGTTGCACTGCAAGGCTGAGAGGATCGCTCGCAGTGAGGAGAAGTTCTTCAGAATGCGGCACTCCTGGAATGCGAGGACATGTCAACAGAGTCAGACTGTGAACAGCATGACATGGCGAGAAAAGATGATGTGCATGATTAAATGTAACCTGAAATACATCATAGGTTTCTGGATTATCTGCTAGTATTCCAGCCATGCAACACGACTAATGAGGAAGAATCCAAAATTAGCTCATAGGCGAGAATGAACATCATTCTAGGTATGTCGGAGTCATGTTTTAGGGCTGTACCTACCTATGCTTTTGCTGTGATACGCTTACAGTACCATGCAAAAGCCTTTGGCAGTCAATGAAAATGATGTTTAAATGATGTTCATTTTGGTATAATACTATGATATTAAGTCTGTCAAAACGTTTCAGCCTTGCAGTTTCAAAACCTTTCCAAATGTCACCCCAGTATTGCAGTAAGAATCCAATACACTTGTGTATTTTTTGACTGGACCACTTTCACACCTTGTTAATAGTTTTTAGTACTGTTACTGATAATTTGCATATCTTCTAATGTTAAATTGTGTTTTTTTTCTGAGCAAATATACACTTACTACCCAGATAAACAGTCATAACATTTTCTTTGACTGCCTAAGACATAGCGCTGCACAGTACTGTATCTTTTTATTTATTAAACGGTGAAAAACAGCAGCGCCTCACCCTGGCCACCTCGATCCAGCGCTCTACCACTTTGACGCGCTGTGCGGGCTTCAGCGCACGGTCGCCCAGGCAGGTGGCGATGACGCAGTTGGTGACGCAGTTGAACTGGGCCACCGTGGCCCGGATGGTGGGGGCCAGGTGCTCTTTGCCCTTTTTGTCCCGCTGGGACCAGATGCTGCCTAGGCAGTGATAGGGCACCACCTTCTTAAACAGCTCCTGGAGGGGGGGGGCCGGAATGATAAATCATAAAAGAATTCTGCAGACATGCAATTGCATCATCTCTGTTGTGCAAGTGAAGAACAGCAATAAAATACATAAATTAGCAGAAGTGATAAATATCCACACATCCGTCCATCTTCCATAACTGCTCATCCAATAGAGGGTTTGGGCACAGAGATCCCTGCAGGATTATGAATGAGTATTGGTGGAACGCGGCTATGGCATGGGCTCTCTCACCGCGTCCATGAGCGTGAACTGTTCCGCCACCAGCACCGGATCAAAGGTAAGGAAGCCGGGCCGCTCGTCCTCGAAGCCGTTCTCCTCCAGCATTGCGAAGGGGCAGGTGGCCTGCTCCAGCACTGCACGTGCACGGCCAGAGGGGGGCAGCAGCGAGACACCATGAGTCACCGAGAACAACCTGACCCTACAAGCCAGCACGTTTGCTATGGGCCTTCTGATTCCCACTCTGGTTCCAAGGATTTCAGCCTTCCCTTTTTCAAACTTACCCAGTAACTTTTTTTTTTACCCAGAATTCCTTGGGTTATCCCTCTAATATATTTTAAATCAGTTTTCCCTTAAGGACTCCTTATGCCGTCTCCCATTAGAGGGAATCCCCTCTGAACTGTGGGAAGCCTTACCCTCCGTCTCCGGGGTGCAGACCTGCCGTCTGTGGAACTGCGCCAGCAGGTTGCAGGCGCGCCGCTCCAGGTCGGACCCGGGAAAGTTAAGGTGCAGGTACGCAATGAGGTGCCGCAGGCAGCTGTACTCTGGCGGCTTCCAGAAGTCCTCGGAGTACTGGTCCAGCCAGGCACCCAGGATGGACGAGATGGTGCTGCGAGAAACAACACGTGACAATAATTACAGTAACTGCTCAGCTCATCCATAATTTTGCTCTGAGGTCCAAATTCCATGAGTGACACAAAGCGAAGGTCCAGTGCCCCAGATATAATATTCCTCCTGAAAAGATTTTGCCAACCGGGGGATGATTTGTTGAGTGCAGTGGGATCAAACAATTGATTAAGCTGTTTTTCAGATGCGGAATGGAGTTATGGGTAAGAGGTAGAGGGTAACCTAGAGGGCCGTCGGTCCATCACAGGGCACACACTCACACTCACACACGCAGTCACTATTTCACCTAAATCGATTTTTTTTGTTTTCAAACGGCAGAGAGAATCCAGAGGACCCAAAGGAAACCCCCCAGAGGCAGAGAAGAGCACACCGTGCACACAGAGAGGCCCAGGTGCCGCTCGCTGCCTTACAGCAATAATAACGCACAGAGACATGGAACGAAAAGGGCTGTGACCTTCAGGAACGAGACGAGGGTGAAGCAAAGAAAGCAGGAAGAGCACAAAACAGGCAGTGTTCAGCAACAATGCACAGTGCCAGTGGTGGGAGGCTTGTACTAAATGGGGGGGTTAAGGGTATGCTATTCACACTCTGGGGGGGGGGTTCATATAGCAGGCTTCACTGGAGACTCACTTCTTGAGCTCCGTGCGCTCGTCGTGGGTTACTCTGTGCCCCTCTGCCCCTGGAAGGTGCTGCAGCTTCGCGTACCTGTAACCGGAAAGGAACCATTTAGTTTTGAAAAGCTTTATACACTGGGAGTGGCTACAGTGGAGGGGGTGTGGTCATGAAGAAGGGGCGTGGCCATGTATAAAAAGGTGGGGTTTTGAGGTGGCAGCAAGTTGAGCAAGCGTACCTGTAACTGGGAAGGATCCAGATCAATTCAGCTTTGCAGATTTTAAACACAGTAGTTATACACTGTATTAGACTGTACTAATTAGGCCATTGTGGAGGTGATGTCATAAAAGGGATGAGCTGGGCATGGGGGGGGGGTGAACCTTATATACTGATGAAGCATCTCGTTTATTCAACTGGGAAATATTCAGCTGGTGGATATGATCACTTTTTCAAAAAGAAAGAATCCTTCCACTCTACTTAAGGCAGTAGGTGCCTAGTCTATTCCATCCATCCATCCATCCATTTTCTGAAACCACTTGTCCATCTCAGGGTTGCAAGGTGTCATCCTGGGGGCTACAGGTGCAGGAGAGGGAACAACCCAGGGTGTGACTCCAGCCTATCGCAGGACAATTTGGTGACTCCAACTGGCAGTATGGACGTGGTCAGTGGCAAGGGGACAGGGTCACGCAGGACGGGCATTGGCCAGGTATTAAAGTGTGTTGTTTCATTAAGAAAGCGAGCGTACCTGTTCAGCAGCAGGTCCAGCACCTGCTTAGTGGTGGCAAAGGAGCGGTAGGTGCACAGGAAGATGGTGACATAGGTGGAGTCATTTCCGCGGAAGGCGGACACCATGTACTCCACCAGCCTGTCCAGCGTTCCCGCCTTGATGGTGCGCACCTTGCACGTCTCGTACAGGCTGAGCGCCGACTCCGACTCCACGCCCAGCCAGCGCTGCCCCTTGGTGGCCGTGTGGTGCATCTGCACCTTCCGAAGGGTGATGGTGTAAATGGCGCCATCTTCTACCTCCTCTCCAATCTCCTGGGTTGAGTTCTGGAGGATGGGGGACAAAAATTACTCCCATTGCCTTGCACCCTACACTCGCCCCCCCCCCCCCCCACCCCCCCCGGGGGGGG